TCAAAAGAGGTATCTCAAACTGTTCCATCTACAAAAAAATATAAGGTCTTGTAAAAAATATAGAAAATCTAAATTATCATAAATACACAAAGTATATTTTCTCACGTGTGCATGTTGGGACGGCCCCAGTCCACGTGGCATCAGCTTGACACGTTATGACAGAATTTCCAACAAGATCGAATCCAGAATAGCACGAGAAGTACATCGAGTCTTGATAGAAATTGGAGCCTGTTTGTGCACCGTTTGCAGGAGCTGTCAGGAGTGGGCACTGTACACCTGGGGAAGATTGGAGACGATTTTTCAGGTAATGCCTTATGACAGCAAAATCCATAAAAAGGCAACTGTACAAACGTAATGGCAAAATGTCACTCAGAAATTCTGCAATGAGACATAAATAAAAAATATCCTACGTGTGCATGACGGGACGGATGCACTCCATGTGGTATCAGCTTGACATGTCAAACTAGACTGTCCAAGAAGATCATATCCAGAGTTGCATGTGAAATGTACCATGTCTTCGTAGAAATTGGACCCAGAAATTGCACCGTTGCAGGAGCTGCTAGAACTGGGCACTGTATACCTAGGTCAGAAAAAAAGACGCTTTAAAAGCACTGCAAATATGCGATATAAATTGACGATTACACAAGAAAGACAAACCCAGCAAAATATATTTTTCCTTTATCATACGTGTGCATGTTGGGACGGTTCCGCTCCATGTGGCATCAGCTCGACATGCTAAGGAAGAACTTCCAACAAGTTCGTATCCAGGAATGCATGTGAAGTGCACCAGGTCTTGATAGAAATTGGATCCAGTCATTCCACCGTTTACAGGAGCTGTCAGTAGAGGGCACTCCACCGCTAAAAGAGAGAAAAGTTTCAGAGCAACCTCTTTAACAATAAAGGAGATAAGTTTTAAAACGAAATCGGTAATTTAGATAAATATTTATATATTATCTGAAAAAAATCTAAACGTCAAAAATATCTTACGTTGGCATGTTGGGACGGCCCCACTCCATGTGGCATCAGCTTGGCATGTTATTGAGGGATTCCCTACAAGATTGTATCCAGTGCCACACGTAAACTGCAACACGTCTTGATAGAAGTTAGATCCAATCTTTGCACCGTTCAAAGGAGCAGCCAGTACAGGGCATTGCTTGCCTATAGCATGAAGTAAGAATACATGTTAAGAGCAATTTATTCAACGAAGAAAAAATCATCAAAGACGCAAAATAAAAATAAAAAAATCGTTTACATACGTGTGCATATTGGAACGGTTAAATCCCAAGTAGCATCAGCTTGGCATGTTAATACAGGATTCCCAACCAGGTCGTATCCAGAATCGCACGTGAACGCTGCCACGTCTTGATAGAAGTTAGATCCAGTCACTGCACCGTTTGCAGGAGCTGTCAGTAGCGGGCATTGCTTGCCTTTTAAATAAGATAAGAATATTTATAAGAGTTCAATATGAGAATAGACTTCATCCCATTCGAGAAAAAATGGTTTTCAAAGAAACAGCTCAAATGACAAGAATATTATAAAATTCATATACATATATTATGTCTAGTCATACGTGTGCATGTTGGGACGTTTCCACTCCATGTGGCATCAGCTTGGCAAGTTACTGCAGCATTTCCTACACGATCGTAACCTGTATCACACGTGAACTGTGCCACATCTTGGTAAAAATTTGATCCAGTCATTGCACCGTTTGCAGGAGCTGTCAGTAGCGGGCACTGCTTACCTGTTACATGAAATAATAATGAAAATTCATACAAGTAACTTTTACAAAGATTAGATCATTGTTAATGCAATCAATGACTCAAATGAAACACACATACTACCCAAAACAAAATTCGAGTTAGGGAGTCTCTATCATACGTTGGCATGTAGGGACGGCCCCACTCCATGTGGCATCAGCTTGGCAAGTTATTGAAGGATTCCCTACAAGATCGTATCCAGAACCACACGTGAACTGTACCACGTCTTGATACAAATTTGATCCAGTCATCGCACCGTTTGCAGGGGCTGTCAGTACTGGGCATTGCTTGCCTATTCAATAAAGTAAGAAAATATGTTTAGAACAGTCTTTTTAACAAGGAAGACGTTTGTATTTGAATGAAAGACTCAATTAGACAATAAAAGCAAAGAAAAACTGGTATCAAAGATTTTTTCATACGTTGGCATGTTGGGACGGTTCCACTCCATGTGGTATCAGCTTGGCAGGTTATTGTGGGATTCCCAACAAGGTTGTATCCCGAATTACACGTGAACGTTGCCACGTCTTGATAGAAATTAGATCCAGTCATTGCACCGTTTGTAGGAGCTGTCAGTAGCGGACACTCATTACCTATTGAATAGAGAATTAATTTTTATACTATTTTTTTGACAGAGAAAAAATGGTTTGGGAAAAATTTCAGATGACAAAAATATCCATTTAAAGATATGTCTTGCCATACGTGTGCATGTAGGAGTGGCCCCACTCCATGTGGCATCAGCTTGACAAGTTAATGTAGAACTTCCTACAAGGTTGTATCCAGTATCACACGTGAACGTTGCCACGTCTTGATAAAAGTTAGTTCCAGTCACTGCTCCGTTTGTAGGAGCTGTCAGTAGCGGACACTGATTGACTATAAAATAAAATAAAGTAAGTAAGAATAATTTTATACTATACTTTCCACAGAGAAAGAGGATTGGTTTGACAAAAAATCAACTGACAAAATATCTATCAAGAGACATGTCTAGTCGAGTCATACGTGTGCATGTTGGGGCGGCCGCACTCCATGTGGCATCAGCTTGGCAAGTTAATGTAGAACTTCCTACCAGGTTGTATCCAGAATCACACGTGAACGTTACCACGTCTTGATAGAAGTTAGATCCAGTCACTGCTCCGTTTGTAGGAGCTGTCAGTAGCGGACACTGATTGCCTATAAAATAAAGTAAGAATGATTTGATACTATTCTTTCCACAGAGAAAAAGGATTGGTTTTGACAAAAATTAACCGACAAAAGACATGTCTACTCCAGTCATACGTGTGCATGTTGGAACAGCTCCACTCCATGTGGCATCAGCTTGACAAGTTATTGTGGAACCTCCTACAAGGTCGTATCCAGAATCACACGTGAACGTTGCCACGTCTTGATAGAAATTTGATCCTGTCACTGCACCGTTTGTAGGAGCTGTCAGTAGTGGGCACTCCTTCCCTATTGAAGTGATGATACAATTTCAGAACAGTCACTTTGATTTATAGAAGGAAGATCATTGTTTCAATAAAAGCAATGACTCAATCAAACGAAACACACATTAACACTGAAAGCCATGAATCTCTATCGTACGTGTGCATGTTGGGGCGGCCCCACTCCATGTAGCATCAGCTTGGCAAGTTATTGTGGAACTTCCTACAAGATCGTATCCAGTATCACACGTGAACGTTGCCACGTCTTGATAGAAATTGGTTCCAATTACTGCACCATTTGCAGGAGCTGTCAGCAGCGGACACTCATTGCCTGATGGATAAGAATAGTCACTGTATTTTTGAACATTTCATTCGACAAAGAAATGGTTTGAAAAGAATGTGGATAATAATTATACTGTCATACCTGTGCAAGTAGGGGATGCTCCGCTCCACGTGGTATCAGCTTGGCAAGTTAATGAAGAACTTCCCACAAGGTCGTATCCAGTATCACACGTGAACGTTGCCACATCTTGATAGAAGTTAGTTCCAGTCACTGCACCGTTTGTAGGGGCTGATAACACGGGACATGCTGCGGCTGTATAGCGATAGAGAATGCAGTAAGTTATGTTGGATGGTTCTTCCAGACCGGGACTTGCTCACAGACTACAGTGAAGTCTTTATTGACACAAGAAAAAAGTACAAGGACTTTTGTATGGTCTTCTACAACTACAATAGGCTGTATGATAACAAGAGTAACATAAAATAACATAGCATAAAGTAACATTAAGACAGAAAGAAAGAATGCATTTCCTAGTTTTTAATTCAAACTGTACGTTAACAGCTAGACTTTACAGGGATTTAAGTATATTGTTTATTAAAAGGCGATACACTCAATTACATTACAGAAATACGCCTAATATGAAATTGCAATGAAAGATTGGAATATTGCATCATTTGCATATCATGTGTAAAAGAGCTCTCATTTCGATGAAAGAAACAGCAGCTATTTGATACGAGGCTGTTTCAATAGTTTTTGAGGAAAATGCTTACCGCCACATGTAAAGCCGTCAATGTTCAAGTTATACCCAGCTGAACACGAACACACAAAACTGCCGATGTTGTTAGTGCACGTCTGCTCACAACCGCCGTTAGCAGTAGCGCACTCATCCACGTCTGTGTATCAAAACAAATGGAACGTAATGCATAAGCGAAAGCGACTTACATATGGGGGGGGGGGCTAAAATGTACACATTCTTCTATAATCATTATTGAATGAATGAAGACTTTATTGTACACATACCCCTCGGGTTAAGTACAGATCACAACAAAAGAATGGAATGCAGATAATATTACATTTATACATTGTCAACTAGATACAATTAAGTAAATTCGGTTTCTTCTCGTTTCTTAGTAATGGTAAAAGGGTAAGAACAGGTATGTTTCTTGATAGAAGGTTTGACTAAGTTTATTAGAAATATAAATTTATCTGTACAGCTTAGGTGTATAACGATGGGGAACATGCATTGTAGTAGACTATAAAGATCTGCAGTTGTCTTCTTGTATTTGTCGTCAATGAAGAAACGCTATTCAAGAGAAAAGAAACCTACCGTCACACGTCTGTCCATTCAAAGTATAGCCAGGCCCACAACCACAGTTGTAACTCCCGATGGTGTTGGTGCAAGCCTGGGCACACCCGCCATTCGCAGAGGCACATTCATCCACGTCTATACTCAGAACAGAGAAAAAAGTGGTATTAAGATATATTAGCCCATAAATGCCGTCATCAGTCTTATTACAATGTTACACTTAGGTTAACTCTTACTTTGCTTCTGTTAAGTGCTTATATTACTCAACTATTTGTTGATTTGGCTGTAAAACGACATATGGGCAGGGCTGCTCCAAAGAGCTGGCAATGGCTCTTTCAAAGAGGTAGCCCTGTGGACAAAAACAGGGCGTAGAATGGAATATGTTTACATTAATCCCAGTAAGATAATTCTACAATTATCAGTATTATATAGTCATAGAATCTAGTGTGAGAGGCTAGAATGACTATGTTATATTAGTTGTTTTCACTTTAGTTTAATGGCTAAGGAGATACCAACAAAAGATATAAAGCATGAAGCTTTACTAAATTACGAGGAATAATAGATATGTTATTGATATCATTTATATGTTATCACTTCAAAAAAAGGTGTTGAAGAAATGCTTACCATCACAAAGCAGCCCTCCGGCATGCAGAGTGTAGCCAACTCCACATGAACACACGAAACTCCCCACGTTGTTAGTGCAAGTCTGGGCACATCCACCGTTAGCAGAAGCACATTCATTCACGTCTGTGTTGGAAGGAAAAACTTATTAGTGTTGTTACCCTTAGATTTATCAAATGAAACACTATTATATATAATGTCATAATATCATGGTGAAAAAAGTTTTTACCATGAAGTTTACATCCGAAGCAATTATATACCTCCATATTCGAAGAGAAACAGAAAAGGAGTGAAGTAAAAATTATAGTATATTAGTGTTTTATGTTAATGGATCCCTCTTTAAAGAAAATTGTTGTAACAATGCACAAACAAATAAAAAAGAAGCCTACCGTCACATAATAGTCCACCGCCATTGAGAATATAGCCAGTCCCACAAGAACACTGGAAACTCCCGATGGTGTTTGTGCAAGTCTGTTCACAGCCACCATTTGCTGAGGCACATTCGTCTATGTCTATGTTCCAAACGGGGAAAAATGGTGCCAAGATACATTAGCCGATATATGTTCTTGGTAGTGTAGATATTTGCTTACTTTTAGACAAATGTTTATCTATTTATTGGTTTGGTTGTATATGATAAAGGCTAGGGTAAAGCAACAGTAAAAATGACGGTTCTCTATGTTACTTACTGCTACAAGGGTCCACACCACTTTCACATGATTTACAAAACTGTAAGATCTTTGGTGTAGTTCAAAACTTCATTTGCTGTACAAAGCAAAACAAAACTTTCTTGACATACTATAACACAACATCTCACAAACCCATTCAACGAATTCAAACTTTATTGTAAATATATACATGCCCGAGGGCTGATGTGTAAGATCTGCTTGGAACTTTCATTTTGATGACTACGTCAAATAATTCATCTGACGCCTACCGTGACACAACCCGCCGGTATCTACGGTGTAGCCACCCCCACAGCCACACTCGAAACTTCCGACAGTGTTTGAGCAAGCCTGGGTACAGCCACCATTGCCAACTGCGCATTCATCCACGTCTATTGAAGAAATAAACAAGAAAGAAGTTTCATCACAGCCTGCGATTAGGTACCGGTAAAATAAGGGTATGATAACCAATGGAAATACATTATCATAACAGCAACATTAAAGAAATGCTGAATAATTGCAATCACAATCTCGAAAGGTGCGAGTAGATGTACTTGCCCCATGACCAACTGGCCCTTCTTCTAAAAGTTTTTTTTTTGGTCTTGATTAAACTTATTGCAGTTCTATTTTATTTGCTTCGTATGACATGTATATTTATATTTCTACGTTATGAATTTTTTTTCATGTTAGAGATGAGAGGGAAATATAAAATATATGTGATAATATTTTATAGTTTTTTAGAGCTGACGTTTCATGATGATCTAGTGCCATGTTTGAGGGCGAATCCGTACAAAACAAAAGAAGCCTACCGTCACACAACAGCCCACCGGCATTCAGAGTGTATCCAACTCCACATGAACACACGAAACTCCCCACGTTGTTTGTGCAAGTCTGCGCACAGCCGCCGTTAGCAGAAGCACATTCATTCACGTCTGTGTTTCAAACAGAGAAAAGTGATGACAAGATTTTAGAAAAGTGTATTTATTTATTGGTTGGGCTTAAAAGACATCTAGCCAGGCGGACAAAGGCAACATGGGTATATAAAATATAATATGTTATAATAGACTATTTTAGTACCGTTTGTGAAAGTCAAAGTCAATATGTTACAATTTTATGCAATAATAAATAAAATTGAATACATACTTACCGTTACATGAGTACCCATTGGTATTCAGACTGTAGCCAACTCCACAAGAACACTGGAAACTCCCGGGGCTGTTGGTGCAAGTCTCTGCACAGCCGCCATTCGCAGAGGAGCATTCATTCACGTCTGCGTCGATTCAATGGGATAATTTGTTAAACAACAGGTATCGTTGCAGTATACAATTAGGCACGGTTAAAAATAGAGATTATACCCATCAATGTAAAAACATTATCGTAACATCAGCATAATAAATGCTAATGATTACCGTTACAGCCTGATAACTACCAACTGGCCCATCATATCTGCAAGTTTTAATATGTCTTAATGTTTGCAGTTCTTTATTATCTTCTTCGTATGACATAAACATATTTGAATTCTAAATTGTGACTAGCTGTTCGGAGACAATATTATGATTAAGGACAGTGTTATGTTTTTCAGAGGAGATAGAAAATAAAGGCAATGAAGAGTGAAGTATAATATTTTTGTAATAATATTTTATATATTATCATTATTATTATTATTATTATTATTATTATTATTATTATTATTACAAAAATAATTTTAGGCGATTGATGTCGATAGTGCCATTTTGAAAATGATCATGAATGCATTGTGCCTACCGTTACACAACAGCCCACCGCCATGCAGGGTGTAACCAGCCCCACAAGAGCACTGGAAACTCCCGATGGTATTGGTGCAAGTCTGGGCACATCCGCCGTTCGCAGAACCACATTCGTTCACGTCTGTGGTACAAACAGAGAAAAACAATCAGTGACTGTCTTTGAAAGGTAGAAACACGTACCTCCAAATTGTCAAGATACACGTACCTCAAGATACTGTTTTCAGTTTACGGCTTTGTACTAGTACTGTGTCTCCTGGTTTGACGACATATAGTAGACAGGCCTGCCAATTTAGACAATGGCTATAAGAAAATGCTGGGGCCAAGACAACCTGGGTCATGGGAAGAACAGTATCTAAATATGATTGTTACATGTTATATTCAAGATCATATGGTATCTACTGTGAAAGCAAGGTGTTGCGTTGCAGTTTTGTTGCAGTTGATAAAGCTAACGACGTAAAACAAAGCAAATATTACATTCTTATTAGAGCTTTATTGATATGATACAACATAATAAAGCCGCTGAAGGAATGCTTACCGTCACATGAGTACCCGTTGGTATTAAGACTGTAGCCAACTCCACAAGAACACTGGAAACTCCCCACGTTGTTGGTGCAAGTCTGTGCACATCCGCCATTTGCAGAAGCACATTCATTCACGTCTGTGTTAATTATATGAAATAAACAAACAAGCATTATTACAGCATACGGCCTGAGCAACGGGAATAAAAGACCATGCTAGTTATCAATTGAAGCACATTATGAAAAGAAAACCATAGGAAAAACGTGTCAAAATTACTGTCATAACCAACTCTTCCAACTTTGTAAGACAGAGTACAACTCAAAACACATTTTCTGGATTTTCTTTATGTTTATGGTGCTTGTAGGAAGAAAATGTTTGCAAAAAAATATGCCTACCGTCACACGAGAACCCATCGCCATTCAGGCTGTAACCAGCAAAACAGGAACAGAAGAAACTTCCATCTGTGTTCGTGCAGAGATGTGCACAGCCGCCATTTGCAGTGGCGCACTCATCTTCGTCTGTGTTTTAAGAAAGGAAAAAAAATTAAAAAGATATATTAGACAATATATACATTATTGCCATAGAGCGAGACGCACATACACGCAGTCAGGCCGATATTTTTCATAGATTATAGATACCCCTCCTACCTACCTATCTATCCATCTATCTATCTACATGTATCTATCAATCAATCAATCAATCAATCCATCCATCTATCTATCTACCTATTTATGTATCTATCTATATCGATCTCTCGATCTCTCGATCTCTCTCTCTATATATATATATATATATCTATATATATATATATATAGAGAGAGAGAGAGAGAGAGAGAGAGAGATAGATAGAGATAGATAGATAGATAGATAGATATCGATATAGATAGATATGGAGATAGAGATAGATATATTCATTATCTGTTACAGTAATAAAACAGGAAATTTTAGATACACTGTATTACCCACCCATCTTGGGAAAACACCATATTGTGTCCCAAACTGAATCATCATAGCAGCATCCCAGTCCGGTACACTCTCCTGGAGCAATGCCAGCCCAGCCGCAGTCCACCCGGTTTTCGTGAGGCGTGGCACATAGGTCCCCTGTGAACATGTTAAAACAACAACAACAAGAATCTTATACCTGATTGAATTTATTACCTAATTTTTGTATGGAGGAGGGCAACTTGTAAAGTTGCGTATGCACCTGTTTTGTCCTCCCTTTCACTTTGTGAAAAATCAAAATAAACAAATAAACAATGAAATATGTTGATATTCCAACGTTATAATGACTATAAATGTGAGGAAGCACACACACAAACACACACACACACACACACACACACACACACACCAAAAACAATACTTCCATTTTATGGATGTTAAAAGGGGCAAACACATTGTAGCAGAGTTGAACATGATCTGGGTATCAGGTTGTTGTATAATACGTAGCTAGAAGCGTAGCGTAACGCTTGATGTTGAAATATGACCATTGTTAGTACGATCTTTTATAATGGCGCTTTATCTGCTTTGTACGCTGTTTGCCACCAGTTAGTGCGTAATACAAGCCGATGCCTGCTGAGATTAAAACATGTAACGTTACATCTGATTAGCACTTACACATGCACAGCGCATGTAACCTCGCAAACAATATTTATACTAATGATGTAGAAGCAAATGTGGAATGTGGAGTATTTTGAATTAAAAAAAATGATATTGAATATTAACGGAAAGTTATGATAAGTACACGCCATCAGACTTACCGCCAACCGAAGTGTACATCAGACCAAGAAGCACAGCTACCAGAATAGTAGCCACACCCGCCTCCATACTGTGAAGAGTATATAGAGCAATATACTTGACCTCAAATGATTGTCAAATTGTCAAACCCCTGAAAACCTGATGAAATGATTCCCGAGGTTGAGGTTACTTGGCAAACTGCATAATATTAAAGCAATAATGCTTCCTTGAAGACATATTGAGGAACAATTTCGTGTGTAGGAAAGTGCAAATACATGGCTGGGGTCCGTTTGGACCCCAGACGGTCTTACATATGACTTCCGTTGTTATTTTTACAAATTTGTGCCGATCTAAAAAAAAATTTAGGAGAACTTGTAGAAGAGGTTTACTGACACGGGAGGAATTTTGTTAAATAAAAAAATTCAAATAGCACATAAAAATATACGTCCGGGGTCCAAATGGACCCAATTCGGGTGTTTGAGGGTTAAAATGTCTGCGTCTGGCTAGGCCCATAAAACACACTAAAACTAATTCAGCCTTCTATAAAACTACAAGAACATACAATACAGCATACACAAAAGACCTTCGACAGCAATAGATTATCGGAAAGAAAATTAAAATATGCATTATTAATGATGCCAGAGATGAAAGGACGAACTATTTACAGCAGGTCAGTGACTTGTGCGCTAAAAAAAAAACACACGACTCTGTTGACGCCCACAATACTAGATATAACGTTTGAATGAATTTGGAAATAATGCAGTATAATCATACATTTTAAAGCTTGGTGAAAAAACATGTCGGTATTCTCATGTTGCCTGATATAGGCACACAGGGTTGAGATACATATTGCTCAACAGTATATGAAAAAAAGGACATATTATATAAATCAATAAGCTTCTAATATGTGCATACACAAACAAGAGTAGGGGCATGCCCCGGTGTGCGATGGTCCAAATTCTACTGTCTGAAAGTTGGTGTCTCTGTCTCGTATTAGCCACGCAGTGTCCAACGTTATCACCCTCTATATATCTATTTCTAGACGACCTATTTTCATTTAATTTCATATCAAGAAAACCTCACAATGGCAGTGTTTTCTGCAACATATAAGAGTTGCAAAGAGTGGAAAGAAGAAAAAACATTATCATGAATGTTCATCTGTGTTGGTAGTAATTATATTACGATATTACTTTATTCCATCACAAATGGTACACAAGGATACTTGTTTACCATTTGTAATGGAAAACAAGTTACTTTCCTTTCTTCGCTGGCAACTAACAAAATACATACACATTGTTAGATGCTATTTGCTACTGTACCCGCGGTACTGACATTATACTGTACCTGTATTTCATGGTAGGTAAAGCAGGCGAGCACCAAAGGCGCGATGTTCCTAGCAGGGTCCGGAAAATTTTGACGTATGTTTACCATTAGACTAGGCCCGGAAAATTTTGAAAAAATGAACCTTCTGAAATGGCATTTTCTGCGTTTTTAAATTTTGAGATGATTTTAAAGAAAATCAATGCCAAAATGAGCAGTTTTTCCATGACTTCGCTGGACATACGAATCAATACATCTAAAGAAAAATTCTTTTTTGTACCAATTTTGTAGGAAGAGCCACTTTCTTATAAATGATCGGGTTTTATTTCCTTTTAAAAGAAAAACATCGTTCCTCACCTTCTGTTTCTTGACTGAGGAAGAAACCCTACAACAACGATGGATAACGATATATGGAGCAATAGATACAGTGACTTGTAAGTTTTGCTGACAAGAAAACACCCTCTTGTTAAGAGTCAGGTAACCAAAGCGATTGCGCGTACATATGTTTTGAAGAATGGACATATACAACCAAAGTTGTAAAGAGGTAATCTGGTGTGGCACGTTACCTACAGTACACCAGGCAACAAAGGCATCTAATCTGACATAAATGCACACAGCCAATCTAGAAAATGGACGCTCTTTCATAGATCTTCTTTCAACAGTTCTTGATCTCTTTGTTCCGTCACCAGAACAACTGTCTGCATCATCAGTTGCATTCATAGTATGTCCATTAGATAGATGAACATTTTAACTTACATGTAATTTGTGCAACAGTTGGAAATAGACATAGCAAAAGCCGCAAGACATGTGTTCCCAAAAGTCCTTGACCTCATAAGGTTATCGGAGGAAAGCGATGAATTCAAAGTGGTGTTAAGTGCCTTTCCTAATGGCACAAGATCGGTGGCACGGCAGGATTCGAACTCAGGACCTCTTGGTTCCGAGCCGAACGCTCTGTCGTCACGCTACCCGACCGCAAATAAGACCTTTCGGTGGAATCCAAAAAGGAGTTGTAGTTACCGAATCCCAGAAAATGGACATACTGGGTAGGTACCGAATCCCAGAAAATGGACATACTCGCTCGAAATATAAACCGTTTACCAGCCGTAAAGAATAATGTACCAGAACACGCTCTTCGAAACAAAATAAGTAAAAATATGCATGCATATTATCTGAAGAATGGACAGTACTGTTAGTCAAGAACTGGCATACACTTACTCTCCAAGCTATGGTTGTGGGGGAATGATCGTTAGCTTTTATATATATATTTTTTGTTGCTAATCCCGTCGGTGGCCGGCGATCTTCTCTGGCTAATGGATACTACCTTGGGCAATTTGATACTGTCTTTTTGCCACCGAAAGGGATCTGCTTGGAGATTAGCATACACTAGCCACGATATCAATGGTTTCAGTATTCTGTCATGACCGCCAGTACACCAGGTATCCATCAAATTTATTTTTGGTGACAGCCAAAGGATAAGGCAACAAAGACATCACTTTCTACATGAACGCACAAGACTGATCTGGAAAGTGTGGATCGTTTCGTAGAAAAACAGTCCTTGAGCTTTTTGGCCCGATACCATAACAACTTTCTACATTATTAATCCTATTCATAGCATGTCCATTAGGTTGATGAGGGTTTCATTTGTAGGTTGTGCAACAGTTAGAAATGGGCATAGCAAAAAGCACAGGACATGTATGTACCCAAAAGTCATTGATCTCTTGTCGCAAGAACTTGTAGTATAATGTCCTTGCTTGTAGGAAGTAAGTCGTGATAAGTGTTAAGGTCGAATCTACACATATAGTACATATTCCGCAATTGTCATTAATGCAATTACAAATTAATATATGTCTGACAACATTGAGATTTATCGATCAAGGTTGCCAATAGAAAGGTCAAGTTACCTTACGTAAGGTTTGAATCACCTGTTAGATATGTTATGTGATAAGACATAAAGAGGGAATCTACTATAATTAGACATGGTATCTAAGGTATATCAAGTATTCATCATACTTAATTTTGGTTGACAGGCACACCCACCTGTAAAGAGTCAGGTAACCAAAGCGATTGCGCGTACATATGTTTTGAAGAATGGACATATACAGCAAAAGTTGTAAAGAGCTAATCTTGTGTGGCACGTTACCTACAGTACATCAGGCAACAAAGGCATCTAATCTGACATAAATGCACACAACCAATCTAGAAAATGGACGCTCTGTCATAGAAAAACAGTTCTTGATCTCTTTGTTCCGTTACCAGAACAACTGTCTGCATTATCAGTTACATTCATAGTATGTCCATTAGATAGATGAACATTTTACATGTAGTTTGTGCAACAGTTGGAAATAGACATAGCAAAAACCGCAAGACATGTGTTCCCAAAAGTCCTTGACATCTCAAGCTTGTCGGAGGAAAGTGATGAATTGAATGGTGTTAAGTGCCTTTCCTAATGGCACAAGATCGGTGGCAGGGCAGGATTCGAACTCATGACCTCTTGGTTCCGAGCCGAACGCTCTGTCGTCACGCTACCCGAACCCAAATAAGACCTGTCATTGGAAATCCAAAAAGGAGTAGCAAGGTTGTGGGGGAATGATCGTTAGCTTTTTATATATGGCCGGGTTTTTTTGTCACTAATCCCGTCGGTGGCCGGCGATCTTCTCTTGCTAATGGATACTGCCCGGCTGGCCAATTTGATACTGTCTTTTTGACACCGAAAGGGATCTGCTTGGAGATTAGCATACACTAGCCACGATATCAGTGGTTTCAGTATTCTGACAAGGCCGCCAGTACACCAGGTATCCATCAAATTTATTTTTGATGACAGGCGAAGGATAAGGCAACAAAGACATCACTTTCTACGTGAACGCACACGGCTAATCTGGAAAGTGTGGATCGTTTCGTAGAAAAACAGTCCTTGAGCTTTTTGGCCCGATACCATAACAACTTTCTACATTATTAATCCTATTCATAGCATGTCCATTAGGTTGATGAGTATTTCATTTGTAGTTTGTGCAACAGTTGGAAAAATGGCATAACAAAAATCACGAGACATGTGTGTGCCCAAAAGTCATTGGCCTCTTGTCGGAGGAAAGTCGTGTTAAGTGTTAAGGTCGAATCTACACATATAGTACATATTCCGCAATTGTCATTAATGTAATTACAAATTAATATATGTCTGACAACAGTGAGATTTATTGATCAAAGTTGCCCATAAAAAGGTCAAGTTACCTTACGTAAGGTTTGAATCACCTGTTAGATATGTTATGTGATAAGACCTAATAAATAAAGAGGGAATCTACTATAATTAGACATGGTATCTAAGGTATATCAAGTATTCAGTATATTTAATTTTGGTTGACAGGCACACCCACCTGTAAAGAATCAGGTAACCAAAGCGATTGCACGTACATATGTTTTGAAGAATGGACATATGTTTTGAAGAATGGACATATACAGCCAAAGTTGTAAAGAGGTAATCTGGTGTGGCATGTTACCTACACTACACCAGGCAACAAAGGCATCTAATCTGACATAAATGCACACAACCAATCTAGAAAATGGACGCTCTGTCATAGACCATCTTTCAACAGTTCTTGATCTCTTTGTTCCGTTACCAGAACAACTGTCTGCATCATCAGTTGCATTCATAGTATGTCCATTAGATAGATGACCATTTTACATGTAGTTTGTGCAACAGTTGGAAACATAGCAAAAACCAACAGACATGTATGTACGTACCCAAAAGTCATTGATCTCTTGTAGGAGGAAAGTGATGAATTGAAAGTGGTGATGGCACAAGATCGGTGGCACGGCAGGATTCGAACTCAAGACCTCTTGGTTCCGAGCCGAACGCTCTGTCGTCACGCTACCCGACCCGAAATAAGACCTTTCGGTGGAATCCAAAAAGGAGTTGTAGCTACCGAATCCCAGAAAATAAGAAGACATACTCGCTCGAAATATAAACCGTTTACCAGCCGTAAAGAATAATGTACCAGTCAGAACACGCTCTTCGAAACAAAATAAGTAAAAATATACATGCATATTATCTGAAAAATTGACAATACTGTTAGTCAAGAACTGGCATACACTTACTCTCCAAGCAAAGGCTTTTATATATGGCCTTTTTTTTCGCTAATCCTGTCGGTGGCCGGCGACCTTCCCAGGGTAATGGATACTGCCTGGCCAATTTGATACTGTCTTTTTGCCACCGAAAGGGATCTGCTTGGAGATTAGCATACACTAGCTAAAATATCAATGGTTTCAGTATTCTGACATGACCCCCAGTACACCAGGTATCCATCAAATTTATTTTTGGTGACAGGCGAAGGATAAGGCACCAAAGACATCACTTTCTACATGAACGCACACGGCTAATCTGGGAACCTGAGTGTGGATACTTGCGTAGAAAAATAGTCCTTGAGCTCTTTGGCCCGATATCAGAACAGCTTTCTGCATTATTAACTCTATTCATAGCCTGTCCATTAGATTGATGAATATTTTATTTCTAGTTTGTGTTACAGTTGGAAATGGGCATAGCAAAAACCAAGAGACATGTATGTACCCAAAGGTCATTGAACACTTGTAGGAGGAAAGTGAGGAAAGCCGTGTACGCGAATTAGCGTGTGTGTGTGTACGTGACTATGTAAGTGTACGCCTATGTGTATGGGTGTTTGTTTGTAACCATGATACAGTGTGGTTGTTCATTCCTCTGTATTGTGATAGATAGAATTCCATGTTAGAACAGACCCTATACTCACAATATGGCATCATCATAGGTTGACCCATCAAAATGTCAGGTGGTCCTAATGCAGAGGTGGCAACTACATGTAACTAGTAGTAGTACATGTTTGAGAGCACTACTCTCATATCAGCAGTGCCTCTATCATAATGTACAGGTACTGCATGCGTAACAGCCAAAACAGTTGACAAGAATATGTCATAATTTGTACCGCTCTTACTCATCTTTCAATCATAGTTTTTAGTGATTCTAGCTTACGCTATTCAAACGCTATACGATATGAAAGTTACTAAGTCCTCCCACGTTTTAAAATGATTAATTATTGCTACTACTACGGTAACCGGTTTTATACTTATTCGGATTGAAGAGTAACTTGAAGAAATATTCAAAGGTCGCCATTTGATCAGTTCTATTGATATGATGTTTTAAAATGCACAACACATGACAACATACATACATTGTCAACTATCGTAGACTGGAACTCGTTACCACCAAGAGTTGGGGCATCATCACTAGAAAGCTTTGAACAACTCCTGCAATTAAATAATGTGCAAAGATTGAGTGTATATAACAAGTCGTTCGGTGTGAGATAGCTGCCGCCGCGCCGCGTACCTGCGAAGCTGGTGTGTTACACAGAAGGGTGGTTATACCGGCTATACTGATACAGATACAGAACATTTCTCTGCTGCATTTTTCCGGAACAGTTGATTTCAAACTCAGCCCATAGATCACACAAAAGAATGTCATAGTTCGAAGGTCAGCGTCCGAAAGGGCCAAGGTAACGTTAGCTTGGGCGGTCCAGTCTTCCCTTGCACGCAGTTGTTTTTTAGTCGCATGACGGCTCAACTTGGAAAGTTTACGTAACATAAAAGTGTTCAAGATGGAGCTGGAGTTACCAGGCTGCTCCCTGACGTGGATTTTGGCGGCACTTCTCCCGATCCTGATCTATCTGTGAGTGGTGTTAAACCATAGTAACCCCAGTATGGGCGTTTACTGTTACAGTACTTAAGAAGGCTTAAAACTTCCTTGCTGTACTTAAGACCCTGTACTGTTCTGGAAGCAACAAAATGAATCTTAAACACTCCTTAATAGGAGTACTTAACCTTAAATATGCTTGTTTTCAACGCTGAAAATGTTTATAAAGGCTGTGACTAAGGAGTTCTATTGGTGATTCTTTCCGCCTGGCCAGACACATTCAGGGCCATTCAAATTGGCCACGTTCCAACATACTTCAGTAGTGTGGTGCCCCCACAAGGTGGCCCCTTGGCGAGACATTGGGCGAAGGCCGTCGGGGGAAAACTGCGCTTGCTGTTTTAATCCTCTGTCCCTCTAGTCGTATCAACCTTTCGTTGTGAATGTCTGTCATCCATGTCTTTGTTTCATTATGATGTTTAAGGTTGGAGTGGGTTGGTGGGAGCACTTGGACAGTAACCTGTCGTGGGTAGCTTGACACATTCCTTGTTCTATCTTCTTTCCCTTTTCTGTCCTCTTTCCTTTGTCTATGTCTTCGTAACGTCGAAAAGATAAAAATAAATAGTTAAGAAAACTTCTGTTTTTCCTGTCTAGTTTTTCCTCTTTATTTTGTTATACCCCAATTAAAAACGGGGTATACGTTTTTATTGTTCCGTGTTTGGGTGTCGGGTGACGCTGCTCTAACTGGTCGTACAACTTACTTACCATCACTTAATTAACCAAACAAACTACCAGCTATTCCCATCTTGGCCCTTGGCCAGGTTTTTAAATCTTATTTCCTCTTTAAGTTTGTTGCTGTTGTTTGGTTTTGCCTCTCTACAAAGGTACCATATCCGCCAACTGTCGGTGTTTAAGAAGATGGGCGTGCCTGCACCACGACAGTGGCCGATCGTGGGAGACTTCTTTGGCCAGATGAAACGGGTGAGTCACGGAAACTTTGGAATTCTCTACCGACAGAAATAAAGACCAAATGCCATGCCAAACAGTTAACTAACAGGGTGGTACATTTGGTAAAAGTTAGATGATTATCTTCAAGGCAGAATCTGTATGTTTTTATGATTGTCATCGCAATGCCATGTATAGGTAAGACTTTTACGCGACGTGTAATTTCTCGAATCTTTTTTAATATTGTATGATAAATGTGATTGTAAATGTCTGTTTCTGTACCTGTATGTAATTGGTGTAGGGGCCCTGGAAGATTAGCCCGTTAAGGGGCTAAAGCGCATCCCAGTAAACTGAAAAAAACAGGAACTGATTACTTTTGCCATAACCTACGTTATATCAATTAAAAATACAGCAACTAGAGTTCCACGATCTCATTTCTTCAACGACAACCATGTTTTAAAAAATAGTATGCGAACTAACCTCTGAATGTTCCATTGCAGTACCAAAGAAAGCCATGATAGTAGTAAATATTGGGAAATTCAGACCGTTTCGGCTTTAAGGAATTAAACGTATATAAGGTAAACATAATTAGGAAGAAATTATGCTGATCAGGGCCTCATGTACATAGTGAATAAATAAATGCAAAAGATAAGACTGTATAACTGGTGTGGTGACTTAGATGATTGTCCAATAAACGGGATTACTTTGTTATCCAGGGTCTATGGGCTCCAGACTACCAAGTCGAAATGATGCGACAGTATGGAAAAGTGTATGGGTAGGTATTAGTCGTCTTTAAAGTTTTTAAAGGTGATTTTGTTTTTGGTCCGTACGATCAGTGAGGTTGAAGTAATATCCTAGGGAAAACATATTATGTCTCTGTGTAAATAACATAGTATTCAGATAAACAGCCTTCAAACAAGATTTCGGAGATCTCATACCTCCATGATATGTAGTGCTTTGTAAATTTTGTGCTTTATTTTGTGTCATAAACTATGTAACTAACTAAAGGCTGTTAAAGAAATGCCTACTGCAGTACCAAAGTCAATCACCAGTGTCCCAAAGTTGACAATTGACTTTACGCCACCTACCCACCTGCTGAATATCATGCCATGATGTTTAGAGTTAAAACTTTTGATCCAACACAAAAACGTTCTCTCACCTAGAGCTGTCGACCAGTCACTCTGGTCTTCCTCAAAAACTGACCCAGTGAATCTTGTCACTGAGGCTTCTTTAAGTGGCGTCAACACTTTACCAAGCTTCACTGGGTCAGTCTACTGAGGAAGACCAGAGTGACTGGTCGAAAGCTCTTGGTGAGAGAACTTTTTTTGTTTTGCACCAAAAGTTTTAAGTCTAAACATGTAACTACCAACACAGATGAATTTTCATTATATCATGCCATGATCTTGAGACCTACATGGAGTTAAATATATTATCGGTTGTATCTACAGGGTATACTCAGGATCCTCCCCAATTCTGATCGTGTCGGACCCGGAGATGTTACGGGAGATTTTCATCAAACAGTTTCACAACTTTTCACGGCGCAACGTGAGTGGGATATGTTAGAAACCATTTCTACCTTCTAATATTGCTTAATTGAATTGTTACAAATTAAATATTCCCCTTTCTCTGTATGAAGTACAGTTGTCAGATGAGCAAAGTAATATATTTAGCTACGGAAAAGCAAAATGATTCCATCTAGTCACTAGACCTCGCTTTCGTGCAAGATCACGTACGTTCTCGCTGAGGTGAACTCTCGCGGGACCACTTGCCAAAATGGCCGCCAAGATTGGCAATGGGTCTATTTGGGAATACTTTAGCATAGATCAGTCGGATTACTTATATTTGGTCACAGAATTTCCTCGAATCTCCTTTTATAGTGTGATCACTCGCCTCTCTTCAGAAATTTATGGAAAGGCTTTTAATTGAATAGCAAAGTTCTTTCTATCACAACCATTTATTTTTCAAGCCAACGTTTCGATGACCTTCTGTCATCTTCATCAGGGCAATACTGACTGGTTTACTGTGCACTGGCACTAGATGTTGCTTGATGCATAGTACACTAAAGGTGTTGGCTTGAAAAATAAATGGTTGCGATAGAAAGAACTTTGCTATTCATTCGTTTACCAACCTGATGAAATTATTTTACGGAAGGCTTTTTATTGTTTTGAAAAGGCTGAATTCATGACTCTGAACACCATACCGAGCGGCCGGTACCTGATTAACCTGAGCGGTGAGGACTGGAAGAACATCAGGACCACAATCACACCTGCCTTCAGCACCGGCAAACTCAAACAGGTACATGGGAATAACATTTCGTTACAGAGCTGTCCTTAGATACCGTAGTAGGTATTAATCTCCAAGCATATGCTCTTGGCTGTAGATAAAATCCAAACTATAATTGAAAGACAAAATCAGTGTATGTCTCTGTACAGTTCAATCCGTCGACGTTTGTCTCTTGCTAAGATATCTAATAGCACGTGAGACTCATGCCTGATGTTGTGACTTAGATACAGTTTGCAGTCGTCAACAAGGCTGCTCAGGAGACCTTCGCGTGGTCTTTCCTGAGACAAGGAAGCAGATGTTTTGGTGACAAAATAAACAGTATCAAATTGGCCAGTCAGTATCCATTTGCCAGGCAGCATCCAATTCAATACCGACCGCCACCCATGGTGGTATTGGATACTGCCTGGCCAATTTGTAACAGTCTCTGCGGCCACCAAAATATCTGCTTGGAGATTACATGGGAATAAAATGTCGTTAGAAAGTTGTCCTAAGTCACCATAGTGTAGTGGTTATCACGTGCGCCTCACACGCGCAAGGTCCCCGGTTCGATCCCGGGCGGTGACAAGTATTTCTTTTATATTTGTCAGAATAAGGCCACACCGACTTAATTTTATGGATGACATCCGCGCGCGCATTGATTTCCGCCTGTTCTCAAAAAAAAAAAAAATCACGTCCTCCGAGGCTCTAGGCTCTAGACTAGGACTAGCCATGCCAATGGTAGTTAGTGACTATACCGAGCCGGTTGTAACTCCGGATCGGATGGCACCCAGGCTACCGAACGACGGCAAGAACTCGTGCCGATCAAATTCCGCAAAAAGCCAGCATATCATCGGCTTGTCGTATACGTCGCTATGTACTGCCGTAAAATCACAATACAAGCTTTGTATTCCTGTGGTTTAGTAGCATTTTTATCTTTGGTCGGAATTTTTTTTATTCGCCCGCGCGCACTAGTTTGGGGGTCTTCAGAGGATGTCATCCATAAAATTAAGTCGGTGTAGCCTAACGATCAGACGGGCGAATCGGCTCGAATTGGAGCTGGAATAGGATAGGACTCGCAATAATTACTAATTGATATTATTTATTTCGTTATACTTATTTTTTGCTTTGTTTCAGATGGTAGGGCAGCTGAACCGCTGTGCGAACATACTTGCGGACACCGTAGGAGGATTTGCAAATACTGACAAGCCCTTTAAAGCGAGAGAGTGAGTTTATCATAATTTACCAACTTTATTCCTTTTAGACAAAATTGTTAATCAGCCACATGTAAACTTCTATGCGTAATATATTCCATTTCTATGTTTTTAAGTTAGACATGTATTAACAGGACATTTTAGATTTGTGGGCGCTTTCTGAATAAACCCACGTTGACCTTAGATACAAACAGATACACAAACCTACACCTTAACCACCCAAAACAATACTTTCGAACACACTAGCCTCTTATACGTATTGTTATTTTATTTTCCGTCATTTTCATCCAGGTTTGCCCAGCTCAGTGGTTAACACTGCCTTACTAGGGGAGCCCTGCGACATACATACATAAAACAAGTAGAATACATACAGTCACATACAGACAATGTCGTAGTACTAAGTATTCCCATAGCCTGGTATACAGTCTATCGTGGTTTGTGTAGGCTGTGTCTTCGGGGCTCTAATACTATTCCTCCGCCCATGGCCTGCTCCACAAACTCCCCGGTAGGAGTGTTCGCGGTGGGACTAATTACAATGTAACTCCCGTCGTGCAAAACCTACCGGGGAACCTAGCTGAGGCGAGCGGGGAAGAGCTTCAGCAGCCCCGACAAAATCCGTCCCAACCGCGATTGACTAGATACCAGGTTAGTATTCCCACTGAAAGTTGTCGTCCATGTGTTTCAGACTGACCGGTGGCTTCACCATGGACGCCATCGCCAGCACGGCGTTTGGAACCGAGATCGACTCACAGAGGAACCCCGAGGACCCGTTTGTGATCCACGGCAGGCAGGGATTCAAGTTCGACTTCAGGAATCCCATTTTATGGCTGTGGAGTAAGCTATGTTTGTTGCAACCTTGTTTGTTTGTTTGTTTGTTTGTTTGTTTATTTATTTCGCAAAATCGGCTAACACACGTAAGACACCAGTTCTGTACATTATGTACAAGCTGCCTAAGTTAATCACCACCTGTCCATTTCCTAATCAGCAAACCACAAGACTTTACAAAAAGGCATACAAAAATGCGCCTTGCATCAACTTAAGATAATAGGCACTAACGCATGCATACTGCGTCCCTACACCATAGGCCAGTGTACATGGCCTGTTCTATAGTCCTTTGGGCCACGCAAATACAACTGTGTGAATATACTATGTCTACATTTTCTTTCCCGTTGTAGTTTTCTTTCCTAAGATCATGAGGCCCATCCTGGAAGCTACAGACTGGGACTTCTTCCCCAGGAAGTCCTACAGGTTCTTTGAGAACGTCTTCGACCAGCTGATGGACATGCGTCAGCAAGGCGGAATTGTGAGTTTTACTTCGAATTCATATCATATCGATGCAATATTTCTATTACACAGCAATATATTGAATGTTGGAGTGACAGGTCTACATGGAACATTGTAAACACACCAAATTCGCTACAAATTGGAACTGTGATGGGTATCGTATGATGTACTTTAATCGGGTATTTCACCACTTCCTGAATTCCTCCAAATACAGCCCACTTACTCCCACATAGCGTGTGCTGGGTTACCTTCAGACATGGACTATCAAATGTCAAAACCGTCTCCCACCCATGCAGAAGCATAAACACACAAACCCACAGCAAAGCCATCCAAAACAATACTGCCTGAGCCGGAAGCAAATAGCTTGCATCTGTATTTGTATCTGTATAGCCAGTAGAACCGCCCTTCGGCGTAATACACCAGCTTTGCAGGCACGTAGCGCGGCGGCAGCTAGCTATATCACACCAAAATACTTGTTACACTCAATTTTGCACATTTAATTGCAGGAGTTGTTTAGAGCTTTCTAGTTACAGTAGTGATGATGCATATTGATGTCTTTAGATTTTTTAACCCCATGTTCTGATTTACCTTAAAAAGGAGCGAGTGGACTTCATGCAGCTGATGGCGAATGCTCACAAGGAAAAGGACGAGGAGGATGAGGGCATGGAAGAGGTCAAGGTTCACGGTCAGAGGAAAGGTGGGTTGATCTTCACTGCACAAAATCCATTCTTTAATAAGCACATTAAGTTTCAGCTTCATCGCTAGCGTGTATCTTTACGCATGACGTGCGTAAAGATGGGATTTCGTGCAGTGCTCGATTTCAGCAATATATACATTATCGAGATAGGAATGTTGAAAAGTTATTTGCACACATTTCGGAGATACCAGGCGTGAGAGTCTGCTGCAGCTGGTAAGAGTAAAATTTGGCAGAATAGACAGATGACATGCCAGGGGAGTTTTATTTTTATCTTATTTATTTATTTTTATTCTTATTCGTATTTGTATTCTTATTCTTATTTTTTTTTTGAAATTGCAACAATGCAACACACGCGGAGCAGAGGCAGCTGTTGCTGGTGTTGTGTCCCGCACATAGAAACGGATACTGGACAGACAATACTCATTTTCACTTGAGTCTGGTGGGGAAAGTCGTGTTAAGTGCCTTTCCCAAGGGCACAAGATCGGTGGCATGCCAGGACTCGAACCCGGGACCTCTTGATTCCGAGTCGCACACGCTGCCATTGCGCCACACGACCCCACTAATTAGTCCGCTAAAGGAGTACAGTTTGTCTCTATTTCTAGAGATTTGCGGTACCTCTGCTTCTTCACCCGTGCAGTAATGACTGAAACTACTAGGTGGCGCTGCAGTACGAAGAATGAACGAAAAAAAATCGATCCCAAACGTGACTAAGCTTATATCCCCTCACCAAACGGGACGTGTGTACCCCATTGTATCACCCATTTATGATACCAAACCTTGTGGTACTAGTAAACTATTTACTGGTTCAGTCCTAGAGTTTTAACCTCTCTTTCTTGTTTGTTGTCTGTCTAGCTCTGACCAAAGCTGACGTGGTGTCCAACGGCATACTGTTTTTCCTGGCCGGGTATGACACGACCGCCTCCACCATGGCCTACACCATGTACAACCTGGCTCTCAACCAGGAGGCACAGGATACCGTCATTCAGGAAGTGGACAATGCCATGGAAGGAAAGGTAATAAAAATAGGTATTATGTGCATACAGACCGAGATTATACATTTAACGTTAACGTTAGAAAGGTATCAAAGCAAATGCATAATGTTTACCTTTGCATATGGTCTGCCCTGTTAATTACCTTCGCCAAGAAGGTTATGTTTTCAGAGGCGTTCGTGTATGTATGTGTGTGTGTGTCTGTAAACACGATAACTTGAGAAGGCTTAAATGGATTGACTTCATATTTGGTAGGTGGGTAGGTCTTGATGAGACCTCGAAATGATTAGATTTTGGGCCCCCTAGCGGCTTCTAATGGTACTGCAGCTGAACTTCCGGTTTTGATATCTCGTGATCTGGACAAGCTGGGGTGACGAAATTTTAATGGTAGGTAGGCCTTGTGCTCGGAAAGAAGTGACGCAAGTTTGGGCCCCCTAGCGGCTTGCTCAGGAACTACAGGGACATTTCTTTGAAATTATTCAAAAGAGGATAATTCAAGAACCGGTGGACGGATCTTCATGATTTTTGGTATGTAGGTAGCTTATGTGACGCTTGACATAATTATGTGACAATTATGCAAATCTGGATGTAATTTGCATAATTAATGAGGAAATTCTATAAATCAGCTGCATTACATTATAGTGACATGTGAAATTGAGAATGAGAGAAACACAGGCAGATATTGATTATGTAAATTAACACTTAATTTGCATAATTATTGAGAAAATGTTATAATTCCATAATGGTTACTGCCTGGAACTTTATACTTGGGGTATTTAAAAGTTAAGTGAAGCTGAACATCATTAAACATAACTTATTCAAATAAGGACCTCATTTGCATAATTTATGAGGAAATGATAGAATGGCTTTCTTTATTAAGATAAAACTGTCTTTTGATGGAGAATATGATCAACTGATATAATTTATGCAAATGAGGATGCTATTTGCATAATCAGGAGGAATCAGCTTTGTCAGTCATAAAGATTAACATCATTTGGCGAAGGTATGAGATCGTGGGACTCTAGTTCTTACTCAAATTAAAAATAAAAATTACTCAAAAATACATTCATATATGTTGTCAGACAGGAGTCTAAATCCCTCCTGCTATAAGATGGCAACATTATGTAACCCAACACCAGTTACCATGGTGACAGACGTCAACAAATCAGGTCATTGACCATGTCCGAGGTCAGTGTTTGGAGAAGAATATATTATATTATAGACTGGTTTATTTGCAGAAACACATACTTCATACATACATAGTACAGTAGGTTAGAAGCTTTTTGCAGCCAAAGGCTGAATTGAGAAGCTTTTACAAATTTTTAAAAATTACATGACTAATACATAATATATATACATAAAAAGTGCCTTGAGAGGCATTAAACACCACTTATACGCTAGAATAATACACATTTATGCTAAAATTACATCATACAACTTCTGTTGGCAAATTACTTAGGTACAACTGACAATAATAAAAAAGTACGATTACATCATGTGCAACAACATAAAATAAAATCTACTGTATTGCAAGGTTATTCAGTATGTTCAGCATTGTGGGGACAGGACTGCATAAATATCTTTTTGTCCCAATGGGTGGTTTGTAGCGCCGTGTTTGCCTTAGCTGCATGTTGTGTGAGTGGTTACTAACTGGGGGTAGCCAGGGGGCGTGCCTAGACCTAGTGGCTGAAAGGGCAAAGGCCCGGCACAGGGTCAGTCTCCGTTCAGACAGACGTTGGAGGTCAAGAGTTGACAGGGCCTCGGAATACGAGTGATAGCTTCTACCCAGTATGATTCTGCATGCCCTTTTCTGGATTCTTTCTATGCTGTCAGATTGTTTTTTTGTGATACCCGCATTCCAACAGGGCGTGGCATATTCAACTATTGGTCGAATATACCCACAATACACTGTGACAAGGTCAGAGCTTGAAGAAGAGAAAACGTGGCAAAAACCATATGCTTTCCTTCAGTAAACATAAACATAAAAAGGAATATTATATGCGTTCAGACCGAGATTATACATTTGAATATATTAATAGATTTATTTGCAGTAGTAATGTTTATAATTTTGTAAGGACTTCAATGTCGCCATTCAAGAAGTAGATAATGGCATGGAAGGAAACACAAGATTATACATTTGAATATATTTATCGATTTCTAAGTACTATACCTTTATACTAGTAGTTTTGTTAGGACTTCAGCCATGCCTGTATCTTTGTGATATGTTTTGTCTGACCTTTATACCCCTTCCGTCCTCAATAAAATTGTCTTGCAGACTAATTTTACTATTTCGTGAATAAACAAGACCTCAAAGTTGTGTCATAAAAACTAATGTTTTGCAAACTCTTAATATGCCTGGGCCATGGTGATTTTCATGGTGCTTACATCATCAGGCAATAAATTGTTGTTGATTTAAGTAATGTATCCAAGAAAATTATAGTTTCGTAGAAATGACCTTAGGATCTTAAGAGCTAAACAAAAATCCGTGTATTTCATGAATAAACAAGACAACTAATGTTTTGCAAAATCTTAATATGGCTGTGCCATCATGATTATCTTGGCGCTTACATATGTGAGGCAATGAATCTTTGTTGATTTAAGTTATGTATCCAAGAAAAGTATGTTCAAGTAGATAAGGACCTTAAGAACTAAACAAAAACCCAACTGTTGTCCATCCTGTAGGATGATGTTGACCATGAGGCCGTGGGTCAGCTGACGTATCTGGAGATGTGCATCATGGAGACCCTCCGACTGTACCCACCTGGAGCAAATGTGTAAGTAGTATGTGTGAACGATACAACTACCGATACAGGCTTTTCACATGCGCCATGTTGGATTGCAGTGTATGGCCGTGTCTATACGGAATCACCCAAACCGCGATTCGGGTAACTCACATTCCTCACATCTGGTCCACGTGCAACACACACCTGTGAAACCGTGTCCGAACGGACACATTATTTGACCATTACTGCTCTTTAAGTTGCTGCCACGTAAAAGTTGGTATTACATATAAAAAAAGAAATATCACCCCGTAATCCATGCCCAGGCGAAGTCACATTGAAATCATATTGCGTTCAGATTCGAACACCTCTAGAGGTGGCTTGGGTTCGAGGCGCTTTCAATGTGATTTCGGAGCGTTCACATGGAGCCACTTGAAACCGGCTTCGGGGTAAACCACATGTAAACCGCCTTGGGTGATTCCGTTTAGACACGGCCTATGTTCAACATGCTGCTACTTAATCAGTTTACCCGTCAACACCTGGTCGCTGAGGTTCATATGATAATTATCTTTACGTCAATGAAAAGCCTCAGTAGCCATTTTCTCCACTACGATAAAATTATCCGGATCGAGCCGAATAGATTGGCTTCATGCAATCAAAGCCATTCTACTCGGCTCGATCCGGACAATTTTATCCTAGTGGAAAAGGGCCAATATCAGGTCATGCTGTAGCCTGGTTACCATCCAATCGGAATCCGGACATCCCGAAAATTTCTGTGGCGTTGTGATTGCCCCCCCCCCCCAAAAAAAACAGCCACACACGTACACACACCAGATTTAAAGAACAGAAATGACATCTTATAGTACTTTATACCATGGGAATCATGTAAGAAAAAGTTGTCAACCTGAGTTTTAGACCATGAAGAACACCCATTTGCAAATAACACATACCTCTAAAGATGTCTTAAGTGTCCACGCAGTCCAAAACGTGAGAATTTCACATTCATACGGCGGAAACTATATCGCAAATCGGACCCTAAGATTCACATTACTATTTACCGGAATACACCAGAATACAAAGGAATACACCGGAATACACATAAAGAAGGGTAAAATCTACCAGAATACACCATGTGTTGATACATATACGTTGACATCCCAAGTTGCCGTATTTTGGCAAAAGATAACGTATACGTGGCCCAGGTAACAAGGAATCACTAGAAAATACTGAGTGGCAATCGGAGACATGAAGTTAAAGATTTTGCTAATTGAATAAATTACAAACCGAGATTCAGTGCATGCAACATTGAAATCACAAGGATTACAGACAACTTTACAAAATTATTAATGTGAAAAAATGTTTCAATATTTGAAAATGATAAAAATGTTGCTTATTTGGTGAAGCCGTCTCACAATGACCTTCCGACTGTGTTTCAGCATGACCCGCTGTAGTGTTGAAGACACCGTGGTGAAGGGACTGTCCATCCCCAAAGGGGTGACCATTCTCACCCCGGTACAGGCCATCCACTATGATCCCGAACGCTGGCCAGAGCCTAAGAAGTTCATCCCTGAGAGGTACGTCAAATTAAAGATTCGCCATAGCCAAATTACATGTAGCAGTAGGCCTATTTAAAGTTAAAACTTTTAGTCCAACACAAAAAATTCTCTCACCTATATAGAGTTTTCGACCAGTCACTCTGGTCTTCCTCAGTAGACTGACCCAGTGAAGCTTGTCACGTGGCTTCTTTGAAGTGTGACGTCAACGACTGGGGCCGACATCGTCTACCACTTCAAAGAAGCCACGTGACAAGCTTCACTGGGTCAGTCTACTGAGGAAGACCAGAGTGACTGGTCGAAAGCTCTAGGTGAGAGAATTTGTTGTGTTGGACCAAAAGTTTTAACTTTAAACATGTAACTACCAACACAGATGAACTTTCATGATAGCAGTAGACCTATTCGGGCCTAAGAGGGCAGCATCCTGGCTTTACTATGTATGGTATGCTTCTTTGGCAACTTAGGGTAGCTAGGTAACTTTTTGTTAGGGCAGAGGTCTGTTAGCACTGGGGGGATCCTGAATTAGAGACCCTGGATTCCTGGTTATCTAGTTAGGCCATGTTGATTTGAGTATATGGATGACATCCACTCGCGCAGGAATCTTCGTCAGTTTCCCAAAAATAGTTGACCATACTGTTAATCGTACAAAACAGTTGAAAAATTAAGGAATATATGCCTTAGATTGCAAAAAAAGTATTGAAACCGATACTAACGTTGCATAATGCCAACATCAATTTCAAAGGAAAAGAAGGAAATGTGAATAAATTAAATGAAGAGTCCATTATTCGTCATACCATACTCGTTTAGTCATTTGTTCAACCTTCATGCCCACTTAGATTTCTTAATAAAGACAATTTTTGCCAGTTTTTGCCAGCTGCAGTGTGCCCTATCAGTTGTTGTTACTGTTAACACAGATACTGCTAATAATAACTACTATATGTTGTGAAATCTAGTCGATGATGATAAGGTGGTTTATATCGTACATGTACCTTCAGGTTCACCAAGGAGGAGCGGGAGAAGCGTAACCCGTTCGACTGGCTGCCGTTCGGGGCGGGCCCGCGGAGCTGTATCGGGATGCGTCTGGCCCTGCTGGAGGCCAAGATCGGACTGGCAAAGGTCTTCATGAAGTACCGCATCCTGCCCTGTCAGGAGACACAGGTGGGCGCCTTCATGGCTTCAATCAGTTTTTTCAATCATTATTATGTTTACTAGTACCTTCGCAGAAGGAGAACATACTATTTTTGCTCTGTTTCTTCTTCTTCCATTTCTTCTTCTTCTCCTAACAAATAAGGTCAATGACCTGGTCCAGACGTCCGTCAACATGGTAACTGGTGTTGGGTTACATCATGTTGCAATTTTATAGCAGGAGGGATTTAGACTCCTGTCACCGCACATATGAATGTGTTTGAGTAAGAATTAACAGAGCAGAACATATGCGGTAAACATTATGCATTTGCTTTGCAAATGTTACCTTTATAGTTAACTGATGCATTTAACCTTAACCCTATTCAGACCTGGCTTTTTTTGTCCCACTGCTGGGAGCGGGGGTTTCAAGGCCCGCCTAATGTAACTTCTAAACTACGCCAAAAAGCAGTTACTCAAGCAACTGGATATGATTTTGGAAACGGTCAGACGTTTCAGCTATATCCACTATAGCTAGCTTTCGTCAGTAGATACGTCTGACCGTTTCCAAAATTATACCCAGTTGCTTAAGTAACTGCTTTTTGGCGTATCGTATTACTTGGATGTCTAACCTTCATCGACGTAACTCCTAAACTACTTATCGCATGACCCCCAATTTTCAAGGGATCTGGTACTAGTAAAATAAACAACTTTGGTGTCATTGTGACGTAATATGACGTCATCATAACACCATGGCAACAAGTCAAAAAACAACAAAACAACAAAATGTCAAATAAAGTAAAGTAAAGTAAAGTAAAGGTATATATAGGAAAATTGCCCAAATAGGAATTTTGATGGTTCTAGCGCAAGACGTTCAAGCACTATCCGAGAAAAAAATTTGTGTATGTATTTGTCTAGATGGTAGGTTGACAGCACGTGGGTAGGATGACTGTTTTGCCTTTTTTATACAACAAACTCCAGATTCCCCTGAAGATGAAGAAGCATGACGTATTCCCTACCGCTGAGGACGGCGTGATGCTGAAGGCAACGCCGAGGAACCAGTCAGAAAACTGATGACATGTCATATCTCATTATGACAAAAAGACTAAACGTTCTGACCACCACTGAGTAAATTGGGACATACCCAAATTTTCGGACGACTCCGTCAGCTTTGTTCACGGAATGGACCCGTCTACTGCAGCTTCCAAGACGTGAAGGCCGAAACACCTGATTGCAGCAAAGAGTCATATGTATCAGATAACCTGTGTCACCCCCGTCACTGTTTAGTGTTGGACGGTTGGCCCAAATGTACACCGCCTCCTTTACTCCTCTTGGAAAGAAATCCGGTTCTGAGTCAGTGTTGGTCAGAACGTTTAGCCTTTTTGTCATAATGAAGTATACCAACACAGATGAACTTTCATGCTAAGACAGGATATATCTGTTGTTTCATGCATACGACAGCATGGCACATGTGAAACTGTACATGTGTTGCGACACAAACACGAATAGTTGTATTTACCAATGGTAGTAACTGGCAGTAAAGATACTGCGATTTCATTTTAACGACTAGAATAGTTGCTTTTTTTAAGACACAATGTGATACAAATGAAACAAAGGAACACCTTTAGAAATATAAACCAATATTATTTGATTACCCTACTTTTGTTTTATATATTCCGTAACGATTTTAACAATGACTACACCCGAAGTTTAAGAAATATAATACTATTAGATGTTATAAATATGTGTACGTAGCAACATATACTAATTGTATTTGGTTGCATTTATAAAAACTCACTAATTTATAAGAACGTACGATTACATAAAATACACACTTGTTTGTATCTAGGTATACGCGCTTTTTCTTTTTGGTGCCTTATGTATATGTATATTACATGCAATGGTGTCAATCAAATGAAATAGAAATTGTCTGGCAATTATTTAAAACATTTGGTGCCTCATGCATATGTATGCATGTAATGGTGCCAATTAAATAAAATACAAATTGTCTGGCAATTATATATATCTTAAAACATTTGCTACTTTCTAACAGTTACATAAAATATGAAGACGCTATTATGCTGAAAGACATAAAACATACAAACACTTTATTTAAAAACATTATCGGTATTTCGTTTTCTTACAGGATACCAATACATCAGATGATGATTATTGTTGGTCTTGTAGAATATTGTGTGTATTACTGCATTGTAGCACTGCCTGCAGTTTTATAATAAAGGTTACAGTATGCCTTAAGCACATTTTGTGTGTTTCTGACATCAATGCTGCACGTCCACGTAATACCTTGGGATTTTGTAATGGGGTCGTTTAAAATATGCAAGACACGACAAGGTCAGTCAAACCAATTTTCTTCTGTTTTCTTTTTTTTTTTTTTTGGTGGCAGCAAGACATTTATATATGTCCTTGGTGTCAGTTTAGGTGTTATGTGTCAGGAACAAATAGTATGGGTTTGATCTCCCTAGCAGGTTGTTCTGGAACTGCGGGGAAGTTTCTTGCAATTTTTTTTTCAAAGTGGATGAGTCCTGACAGGAACAACACATTTTCATGATTTGGTATGTAGGTAGCTTATACAGCGATATGGTTACAGATTCTTTATTGACACAACAGTACAGAGACTTTTGTATGGTCTTCTACAACTTAACTAAAGATCTAACAAAGCTAAATACATGTGTGGATAACGTTATCTTACGTACAGAGTATATGTATGATGTAACAATAAAGGTTAACTATATATGTACAATTAAATGCAAATTTTTAAAGCTTTCATTGCACCTTTCACATATTTCCTCTCGTCTGGACTGAATACTTCCATCCGCCTTGTAATTTTTCATTTCTCATAACATCACGTTTTTTTTTCCATTTTGACCCATTTGGCATCTCATAGATGTCCACTGCATGCATTCACACATGTAATTATGTCCAAGGAAAAATCTTCGATTGTCTGATGACGTGTGCATAGATCGGTACGACCACACCAACACGTGTCATCTTGTCATAACGGAAATAGACATCTGGCCAGGGCGTACTGTTTCATATCGCTTGAGAGGGTGTGTTAGGTAAGAGGAAAGTATCTCAAGATAGAAGAAACAGTTCTTAATCTAAATCTAGCACGAACTTGCGGAAAATGAGGAAACATCTTTGGATAATTGTCTTCATCATCCCATCGGCGTGGTGCAGTTTAAGAATTCCCGATGACTGCCCGAATTGCAGAGGCATTGCCACGAAGTGCACTCTGACCAAGAATATGACTAACGATGGAGGATCTGCAGAAGAAGTGCTGCTGTCTCCCAAATGTGTGGTCTGTACCCCCGAACCAGAGCCTAAAGACAGGGACACCATTCCCAACTGTACGCTGGTACAAAAGACGAATTCACTGTGGCTTAAAAACTTTCGCCTCGGGTACCTGTCTTCGTCCGATGTGAGCCATCTCAAACATCTTAATACTCTCTACATCCAACCAGGTGGGTCATTGATATAATAAGACCACAGAGACTTTGTATATTCAGTATACGCAATAATTATAACTGGTTAGGTATGCACGTAATAGTAATAGACTATAGAAGATTTGTGCAATTTTAGTCACATTAAAATTGGGCATTCACAGTCAGACTAAAATTTCTTTAATATTCCTCTTGTTTGAGTCTGAAAATTGTAATTTTCCTTAAAGTTATATATTCTTATTAGTGTGTAAATTAGACTCATCAGAGTAAACATTAAACTTATATATATATATATAACATATAGCATATAATATATAACATAGACGTATCAGTGTATAATATAGACGTATCAGTGTATAACATAGACTTATCAAAGTTGAACGTAGACTTATGAATGTATAACTTTATCAGTGTATAACTTTAACTCATCAGTGTATGGTGTAAGCTATAAATGTGTAACAAACCAACCAAGAATGCTGAGTGTATGCTCGTACGCGTCTACTAAACGATTATGATTTTTCGCTATCTTTACAGGAGACGTAGGTTATTTGGAAAACAACACATTTTCTGGGCTAAAATTACTCACACTGTCCCTGACTCACAACAAGCTTCCCTACATCGGAAAGAACTGGCTTGTACAAGTCAATTCCCACCTGAATCTAGCTCACAACGAAATAGCCTTCATAGAGAGCGACGCTTTCGTTGTAAAAAACAGATGGAGGAAGACTACCGCTCTGCACATGCAATGGAACAAGCTGGAGACCGTCACACAAGGGTACTTCAGACAACTCACATCATTATTGCTGTTGGACCTGCGATACAACAAAATCCACACCATCCACAGAGGTATCTACATTGTTATATTGGTTTGTCCATTGACTTGTTACCTCCATGAAATGTGTCATGGAGGTTATATTTGTCTTCGTCAGAAGGACTATGAAATTGTCTCGCCGGAGTGTGGGGAACTGCGGATTTTGCGATATAACTCTGGAAGGCATGATTCGACGTCCATGATTTTTGGCAGGCAGATTACCGCTGTTGAGGCCAAATTTAAGTACAAGTTTCGGCTTCGTGGGGGGTCCGTGCGTTACGTTAGTGCACCTTTTGTGTTTGTGGCTTGTTAGCAAGATAACTCAAGTATTTGTAAAATGTTGATTATAATTCTTGGTGTGGTGCTTACTATTATCGGGACCAAGGTTAAGTTCGTTACTGAGCTTCGTGGGGGGTTTTGTTGTGACTACAGGGGGCATTTTGTTAATTTTTCTTGTGAGCAGGATAACTTTTGTATGTTTGGATGGAAGTTAATGAAATTTGATAGGCATGTTACTGTCGTGGTCTCCAAGATTGAGTTCAAAGATGAGAGTCGTGGAGTTCGTTATGTCCCCGGAATAGGACCTTTTGTGTTTAGAAACCCCCCACCTACATCTGCTTGGAGACAGCCGACAGCTGGATATAGCTGGGGAACCCCATAATGGGATGGGATCAAATGACGTTACATTGAGGGATTGTACTATAACTTCAGCAGGGGGGAGGATAGGTTGGACATATGTCAGGTTATTTTCTACGGCCACACCAAGTAATTGCTATGGATGACGTCCACTGGAGACCTTAAATCTAATTACCTTAAATTTAAGGCAAGCGCGCAATAAAAACACGAAGGGCCGAAAAACGAGATGCCTAGATTTGGAATATACTAACTGTAGAAGTACAAATGTTAGGACACAAAGAACACAAGAAACAAGTCTTCTATTCGTCATAAAGACAAATTAACAAAACAGCAGTAGTCACCCTGTTCTGATTCTTTCCTTTATAACATCTTCTCTTATTATATTTTGCGGCACTGTCGTGACACTTTCACACAGTAAGAATTTACTTTGAACGTTTTTTTCCCAGTAACAGTCCAAACTCAAATAACGTAGGGGGGGGGGCTAACACGGGTGACGACGCATCTGTATAATCTGCGGCAAACCGTTTCAGGGTGTTCTGTACCATAAAAATAGTACAGAGATTCTTTTGTTCTTTAGACCAAATTAATTATTAAAAAGAGTGAAGAATACGCATGTTAATTTCTCTAGAACGATGTACCTCTGACGAAGACATGAGATCTCCGACCTCTAGTTTCAGTTGCGTTTATCTGTCCGTCTGTCCGTCCGTCTGTTGGTCAACAAGATAACTCAAGAACGCCTGGATGGATTGGTTTCATACTTGGTGTGTTGGTAGGGTGTGACGAAAACTGGAAATGATTAGATTTTGGTCCCCCTAGTGGCTTCCCTTGGTACTGCAGCGCAACTTCCGGTTTTGATATCTCGCGATCTGGACATGCTAGGGTCATGAAATTTTGATGGAAGGTAGCTCTCGTGATTGGGAAGAAGTCATATGAATTTGGGCCCCCTAGCGGCTTGTTCTGGAACTGCAGGGCACTTTCTGGCAAAATGTTTAAAAGCCAATAAGTCTAGACAGGAACAACATATTTTCATTATTTTTGGTGTGTAGGTAGCTGAGAGAGAGATGTACATAATTAAATGCAAATTATGCAAATGAGGACTTAATTTGCATAATTAATGAGGAAATTCTATAATTACAGTGTTTTACATTATACTACTTACATACATGTAATGTATGTAACCTATGGCAGGCGGAACTTCAACAGATACTAATTATGCAAATGATGACCTAATTTGCATAATTAATGCGAAGATTCTATGATTTCGTAATGGTGAATGATGAGAATGTCATACTTGGGACATCTGTAAGTTAATCAAAAGTTAACATACATCACGATGCATATATCATGTTAATGCAGAGGTCATTTGCACAATTAAAGAAGAAATTTACATTTACATATAAAGATCATATTTCATGGAGGTATGAGGTCTCGGAATTCTAGTTAGACATATAGTATTTTGTAATTTTACTACAATTTTGGTGTGTATTTAGTCTATTTCTTCTCCGTGTATGTTATATCACTCGAGTAGTATCCACTAAACAGTTAAAAGATTGTTTTGTAAAACAACAATCAACTCATCAGACAAACATTACGGTTTTATAAATTCAATACATATACATTAAGGTTTAATAGGGTCACATCAACAAGGGGCCCGGCCCAGTTACAAAATAATTTTCAAAATAATTTGCCACCAATACTAATTCCAATATATTTTGATATTCATCAAGTCGTCTGAATGATATTCATATCTATCAAAACATACGATGTTTACCGAGATGTGACTTTTGTATTATTTACGCTAGCTAATCCCTTATTGTCGCAATTCTTTCTAAGTACGAAAGTATTGTTTTGCATGGCTGAGCTCGAGTTGCGTGTTTGCATGTCTCTGCATGGCCATATTGCTTCAGTTGCATGGTGGGTGGGAGGTGATTTTAATAGACGATTGATAGGCAGGTCAAGTCTGAAAGTTACCCAGCATGTACCGGGTGGGAGTACTAGTAAGTGGGAGGTTTATGGAGGAATTCAGTACGCGGTGTAATACCCGCGATTAAATTACATCATGCAATCCCCTCTAAAGTTTCGAGACATTTATGAAGGTGGCAAAACTTCAGAGTGAACTTTAAGGTCAGGAAAAAAAATTCCGGGATCTCCAATTTCATGTTTTTGTGCGAAAGATATCCAGACTATCAAAAGTGGCATTTTCA